AAGTGGAGCAAATATAAATATCTTGCTCATCTGAGGTAGTCAAAATTCATCTAAATTACCCTGCTGCAAGAACTAGTTTCCCCAACATGATATTCAGATAATTGTATATCTAAGTGCAATAGGTTAAGTTGCAGGTAGCAATAACAGCTGCATCCAATATCCCACAATTACTTTATATACCATTTTGTCACCTTCTGATAATCTAGGACTACAGAAATGTATGACTAATGGGGGAGTTTATATTATTGCAAGAGAAAAGTATCCTTGTACCACCTTTGGGATGACAACGGGAGTTGGTCACCATTTAAACACCTTGTATATAACAAGAAGGGTAAACATCCAGAAAACATTCTAGAGGTGTTACAAAATGATAGCCAGATGTCACATGAGGAAAGAAATACTCAGTACTAACAAATAAAGCAAATTAACAAATAAACAAATACAGTGTCAGACCTATAGCTGGGGATTTTCCCTGGCTCTAGCCTTTCAGTTTGTTTTCCTTTTTCTTCTTTTTTTTTTTTTAAATGATTCCATAAGCCACAAAACCTAAACAGACCTCATCTTGCCAATCAAGAGAGCAAGCAGTCCAAGTCAAATTCCAGTTAACAATGGATCTAAACTCAATAATCTCTGCACACAAGAAGATTTACCATGGATTAAAAACGTCTCTTCCTTCCCCATGGTATCATATTTCAGTCTCTGAAAAATTCATTTTTGGCCTGCAAAAAGCAACTGTCTGGCATTTAAAAAACAAAAACAAAACCACCTAACTTTCACATTAATATGCTGGCATTTTATTTTCATGTTTATACATACAACACCTTCAATATACTTGTCCTTCAATACTCTACAATATCCTTGATGTTTTGTATCACATAAGGTCAAAAAAAAAAAAAAAAATCACATAGGATGCAACAAAGGACTTCCTGAGAAAGCGTTCTTGGAGAAGGTGACAGGGGACACAGGTTAGAGAAAAAAGTCTGAAAGTTTTTGTGTCATCCATTTGTAAGGAGGAAAGACCTTCAATCTGAACTTAAATTCCTGAGAATGAAAGGTGCAAAATCACTCACTGGAGAAAGAGATCACACTAGCTGATCGGGGTGGGGGTGGTTATATTTTTACTTCAGGCACTATTCTGATTATGACATATATGAAGGAGGACTTCTGGCTTCAAAAGACTATTGAGAAATGTCATTAAAATGATACCACATGCCTTTGATATGTTTTGGAGAGATAAAATCTTGCAGCTCCTACTCACTCACTTGAAGCAATTGGGCAGTTTTGCCATCCAAAAATCATCAGTCAAATATTGGCTCAGCTGTTCCCAATATATGCAATCCTGCCTTCAGATTTGTTGCAACATAATTTCAAATCCAGTCCTTGTCTCAAAAAGCAGTAGCCCACAACCTTTATCTCTGCCTCTCTCTACACTGTGTAGATCTGATCATCCAGCAGCATCTTTCTTTGCAGGAACAGTCTGAGGTCACCTGATCTTTCCAGGTTCATTCAACACTTCACACACTGTTCAGGCATCTTTTTCTCTTCCCTAACCCCTTCAGACCACAGGCATGAGGAATACCAGTGTAAGCCTGTGTCAGCTAATTAGCCACTAATTCCTTTGGCATAAATGTGGCAAGACACATAGCCCAGGACCTTTACAGGGAAATCTAGAGTCAATTTGAATCTGAACCAGTTCCCAGAATATCAGGAAGTCACCTCATGTCAACAGCTAATTAAGGGGGGAAGTTCTTCTACAGCCAGCCTGAGAGATGTTTGAGTCCTAACAGAGACTATAAAGATTCACAGCTAATTGCTTACAGGATCATACCATTACATTTAGCAGAGCTTGTGTGACAGGTCACAAACGGGTGTTTTCAAAAAAAGAAATTGTTGTTGACCTACCTGGATCTTAAATAGAACAATTAGGCCAATGCTGAATCACTTTGAAAAATCCAGCTGGTATATCACTGAGCCTCAGCTTCTTCCTTAAAAAAATAGCACCAGTAATACCAAGTGTGTCTCCTTTGTTATTTTTGATTAATATTGATTAATTTTTTATTAATGTTGAACAAACATCTCTTCCCCTTTCCTTGTACACTACCTTTCACCATCACATCACAGGCAGGATTCTGAGGTATTGCTGCAATGCAAACAACATGAACAGGTTTTAATAGGACAGAAAAAGAAACCTTTCATTCCCCAGACAAGAAACCAAATGAGTCCATTGTGGAGAAAACTTACAAGCCACCAAGGTAAGACCACTGAGCTTGGTGAGCCCAGGGAAAGCATTAGCCTCATGCAGTGTTAGACCCTTGGAGCCAGGTCCCAACAGAAACACTTTCCTTCAAGTCAAAATATCAAGCTGCTAAGCTAGACAATTTGGGTGGCCTAAGATTTTTCAGTGGCTTGCCCAACAGGCCCAGATTTCTTAAAATGGACTCCCTTTCCTCAGCTCATTCTAAGCCATCCTAATTTTCTGGATCTGCTGCCAAAAAAGCACACATCATCACCACACCCTGGGTGAGTAAAGCTGAAGACCCAGTGCCAAGTGTTGCAACCACCAAAAACCAGTCAGTGGAATACACCAGGCACAAACTGCACTGCCTCTGTTACATCTTCCTGGAGCTGTAAAAATGAATCTTGAAAATCTTGAAAATCTTTAAAATACTTAAAAGACACTTAGCAAAAAAAATTAATCAAATTTTTAAAACCCCATTTCATTATTGTTTAAAAATAAACTTATGAACACAACTGAGCTGTCAGAGTGACATCTTCCTTTGCTCACAGACAACTATTGCCGTCTTACTGGTGAGACATAACATCAAATTATCCTAACCAAGGGCAAGAAAAGAAGGGGGAAAACTGGCTTTCTGGTTAAGAAGGCAGAGTTGAAATTCAAGAAAGATTTATCAGTAACTGAAAAAAAAAAAGAAAATAGTTGTTGGACTTGACCACCTTAGATCCGTGAAAAGGAGATGCAAAGGTTACTGCCAAGAGTTTTCTCTTATGAAGGGAGACTTTATTGGTTTGATTCATATTGCAGCAAAGCTTGACAGGAGATACTTGCTAGCATTATCACCTGTTAATTGAACTGATGCACAGAAGGAGGACTGTCTTAGAGGTAACAAAGTATGATGTTATCTCCTGCTTAATAAACAGAGATCTGTAAGACTGGATGACAGAGCGCATTACCTTCTGACCATGGCACATGAGAGGGAGACAGAAGATGCCACTCTCCCAAGGTAATGCAGGCATACTGCCGGCATACAGATGGATGTACTTTTTTTTTTAAATCACACCAGTGTAATGAATGAGATGACTGCAAAGGGGAACAGAAAAGACTGATGAAAATACAGACATATATACAGTGCTAGCCAAGTGCTGCACTCTGTGTTACTGAATAAATATCTTGGTGTTTGCTAATACCAGTATTTGGACTTGTAAAGGTCTCCTTATCACCCCAGTCATCTGCACTCTTAAAAGGAGAGTTTCCTTCCATTTTTCATCTTCCACTATTGAAGTGGCAGCTTCTCTTTCATCCTTCCTCAAAGGTCATTAGCAAAGCTCATGGATGCCTTTGTTCCCTCAATATTTGATTTCTTGGTATCAGAAGCAAGAAGCATTTTTTTCTAGATCAACTCACTGGCTGAACTGACTCCATAGAACTTAATTAAAAAAAAAAATCCATACTTCAATGATTGCATCTGTAAGACACTTATTTTTAATAAGATTATGCATGGGTACTTAGTATGTGAATGGTAGCTATTACACTGTATGTACATTGGTATGTACAAGAGAAAATAAGATCAAAGAATGACCAGTTAAATATATTTTCTTAAACAAACATTTATCTAAAATTAGTATGCATGTCTCATGAACACTGCCCTGGCTGTGTTTTGGATGGCAGTAGGAATAAAACTGCAGCAGCAGCTACACACTGACCATGATAACATTGCAGAAGTCAAAAGAGTTGGTATCACAAATTTTGTTGCCATCACAAACATCTGTAAGCTCACAGCAGATTAATAAATGAAGACATCGTTACAGCCAAAGGCTAGGCTGTCAAAACTGTTTTTCCAAACCCACTAAGTGTATGATTTTAAACCTTAACTGCTATCCTCAGCTTCAAAATCTACTTGGTACGCAATAGTTCAGAGACAAGTCCAGCAAAAATGAATGCAGTTGGATCACAGAATCATAGGATGCTTTGGGTTAGAAGGGACTTTTAGAGGTCATCTAGCCCAACCCCGGTGCAGTGAGCAGGGACAGCTTTAACTCGATCAGGTTGCTCAGAGCCCCATCCAACCTGACCTTGAATGTTTCCAGGGATGGGGCTGATGATTTTTATCAGACAGTTGCCAGAAAAATCAGGCTGTTACATGTTGATCACTCTGGGGCAGTCCATCAAAAATGTAGATTCAGTGCAATGACAACCAAAAGCAGGTAAATTCATGGAAGGTTAGACTTCTGCCTAACAGATAGATACTGAGAAAATAGAAGACATTGTGTGCAATTCCATTTTTCAATTAGCAGCCTTCCTTCTCCTGGTGCAAACATTTTTGGTATCTGGTTTACTCCTTAATGTCACAAGCAGAGATCTGTGAACAAGGCAAAGCTTTGCTTGATCTTTGCTTTGGTCTCTGGTTCAAAGACCACATACCACCAAGCTTTGCATCCAGATCAGGCACAGACTTTTGTGAGGTTGAAATCTTATTCTTATATGGCAGTATATCCAAATAGGACTCTACAGCTCTACAACTGCCTTTCCATTCCCTAAAACAGTGAAGAGAATTTTTAAAAGTAAGCATGATTTGCCAATGACTTAATGCCAGAACCAGCATTAGTCCTCACACACAGTTCTGAATAATATACATAATTTTCTCTTTTAACCAGCTAACATGGATGTTCATTCTGTATGGATTCATGTTCCCTGAATATTTGTTAGTCCATTACCAAAACATTTGTATATCTCCTTCTGACAAGATTCATCAAAATACGTTTTAAGAGAGTTTAGACGACTGAGGTGATGAACAGTTTTTAAATCTCTTCTTTCGTTCCACTGCAGTTCGCAAAGCCTGAAGAATTAAATGTTTATTATTCAGGATGTTGTAGCTGCACAGGTTCAGCAACTTGTTGAAATTCTCTTCAGTATATGTAAGCAGACCAGTGCCATAGGGAGCAACACAGTTGGACACATCTACTCTTCCTTGCTCCATCTCTGTGGGATTGCGCTCCACATCTGAAGTAAGAACATAGCAAAGTTCAACACAGCAATGTTGCTGAGGTGGAAGACTCCTACCATGCAATGCAAAATACACAGTAACAGCCACAAGAAACTGAATTCTCTCAGGGAAATAGTTCAAGATTTAATTACTGTATAGATACCACATCTGCTGCACTAATAAAATCCACCACTTCACTGCTTGACTACAGTCACAGCTGATCAAGAATTGACTGGCAGAACAACTGTTCCATGCAAAATGCTTTCCTCTCTAAATTAAAGTTTTCCATCAGGATATTTCACTTTTGCAGATTTGGAATTTTGTACTTTTAACTTTTCCACTGGGTACTGAGATGACAGCTCCTTATCTACCAACTGGCAGAAAATGACACCAGGAAGCTCCTGGGTTAGGAATTCTCCCTCTCAGGTAGCTAAGACTTTAAGTACATGCAGCAGGACAAATAAGATGATGAACTACGTGAGGTCTTTTCCAATAAGCTGGTACATGGGGTTTTGTTCGGTTTTGAGGAAAGTTTCCAGAATCATACTAAATTAGCAACAAGAAAACTGGAGTTGACACATGCAGAAGTATTTGTAAAATGAAACTGAATTTGCCAAGTAGTTTTTTCTGGTGAAACAAACAAATCACTATTTATTCTATTGCTGAACTAAAGAAAATAATCTGGCAACTTTTCAAAAATGACAGATATCAAAGTGGCTTGTTACCCTGGCATATCCTTTGCTTCATTATGTGTTTTTAGCACTTTCTATTCTCACATTTTTTTTTCATGTAAACAAAGTAACAAGAAGATTCTAGTTTTGTTAACAAAGTAAACGTAGTATCTCATTACAAGACTGTTAAGTGACTGTTAGCTACCAATGGATATAACTTAGTACCTGCCTCCCATCCTTTATTATCAAAGGAATACAAACTATCCCAGATGCCAGATAAGGGGGTTTGCCTCAAGCTACAGCTATTCATGCTTTTAATTTTGAAACTCTTCAGTTCAATCCCTGATTAGTTGGCCAACACTATATCCATCACTACAGGCCTGGGAATGTGATAACTTAGCCAACTGAGAAGCTTACCTGTCTCTTGTTTTAGAAGAGGAACAAATTCAATGGATAAACTGGATGTGACAACCTCAAAAAATGATTGATTAATGCTGTTAACTTACTTGGTGCCTTGTATTTTTGGAAGGTATCACACACCAGTGGGAAATAGGCCAAGATTGGTGCCTCTACACTGTCCTCAAACACATAGCACTCCTTCAGGTGTTCCCGGTCTTCCTGGCTCAGCTCCGTGCCAGGGAATGGGATCCCATGCTCCAAACAGTACTCTGAGAATAGGTCCAGTGGCTGGTTCAACAGAGGAGAGTTGCAACACCAAGAGAGGTTGAAATAAGGCTACCAAGCCCCGTAACTGATATTTTGCTGCACTACGCAATCTGTGATTGATTTATATGTTTACAAATAAGGCTAACTATGCACTGGAACAAGCACACCCTCTTGATTTTAATATACCCTGGGCAATAGAAATTTGGTTGATTTGCTAACATTACTTTTCTAAAGCAAGGTTACTGTTTTCTGAAATTTATATGAAATTCAGATAATTTTTGTGATTTAGTGGGCACAGTAGAGGACTTGGATCAGGAAATTTTGATTACACATAGTATCTCAGATCACACGTTCCTGAATGTTTGCATTCAGTGCATCTAACAATCAATGTCATCATGTCTTCCTACAAATAAATTACATTAATTTCAATCATATACACCCTTCAATGTTTCTTCAAACACAGCAAAACAAAAACCTGACTGAAACTTATGCAAACACCAAGAGTCAAACATAAAAGGAAAAACTCCAAATTTTCATTCAAAAATAGCAAAATTATCTATTAACTAATTACACTGTAAAAGTAATTTAACTAACTATCAAGGAACTTGGTACCACAATGACAAGTCTGCACAGATACACAGAATAGGTAACCTTCTATGTGTCTGTGTCCATGTGTGTGTCCCAGAAAACTACTGAAAATAGCCCCAATAAAGACAGTGACATTATGGTCACAGTGTAGAATAGTATCACTGATATGACCACTTCACTTAATAACAACCAGACCATTTTCTGGAAAAAAGAGAAACATGGTAATTCAGCTGCTGGAGTCATACAGATAAAGAATCACTACTACAAAACATCACCAGAGTCTGTGATCCTCCGCTGTAATTTAAATGCAAAATGACATCCACTTTCCTCTCTGGCCTCAGAATGGGTGGGCAGCTGGTGTTGATGAAGAAAGCTGTATCTACCAGCTTGAGGTAGTCACCCATTTCATTCAGCTGGTTGGGAGAAGAATCCAGCACTGTGTCTGAAAGTCAAAAACTTATATTATCAATTAATTACTGTAAGAGCAAGTCCATTCTTTTTCCAAATCAGCATAACAAGGAAAGAAAGAAAAGACAGCCCACACTAATATTAGTCTTTGACACAAAGCTCACAGTTAAATATTTGTCTTTGACACAATTTTAGCATCTACAGCTCAACTCTGAGATCAGTAAGAGGGAGCAGTTCTGGGACTCAGCTTCATCCAAAGTGATATATTAAGCTGCTTTTTCAACTGGTGTAAATTTGTGGCTATTTAGCTTCAGTGGAAGCTGTAAGTCATTCTTTTGCAGCTTTTCCTAGGAAGAACAGAATTCAAGCAAGCCTGCTGTGGGTTCTCCAAGACAGAAACAAGACCAGCACTAAATCATCTGGGGCTCAGCAAAACTAATTCCACAGACGTATTATCAAATAATATTAATCAAAATTTGCATTTGTGCTAAAACTTATCAAATATTTGTCCTCAGCAAGTATCAGCACTCAAATCGCCTTCAAAGATGCATCTAAAACAATTTACAATTACCTTTCCACATGCAAAAGCTCTCATTCTCAAAATACTTGTTATGTAGCTGCAAGCCCTTGAGGAAATTATGGTAAGTTGAGACCACTGGCCGTCCGGTCATCATTTCTCGAAGAGTATTGGAAAGGCAACCTTTGGGAATGGATAAGCAAGTTGTCTGTTCATGAGGCTTCCTGGGCAGAGCAGGGTGTTCCTCTGTAGGAAGAATGAGGAGAGGGTATATGTCTGCATTTGTTTAGAGTGTTCATCTGATACTAATAATAACGAAGAAAGAGGGGCTGGGCAGCCAAACCACTACAGCCCCATCTGTGACAGAGTGCATGCACCGACATGCAGACTGTGCTGGGCAGAGGTGGGTTTCAGTATCACAGCATCACCTTGTTGTTCCCCATCTGGCCTCTCCCTCCCCAAAGGACTCATGGTAACCCTCTTGTGACTAACAAAACTCCCCAGGGATGTTGCACAGTGAGCAGCGCACTGTTTTTTCCTGTTTTCCAGCACAACTGTTTCTCTCTTGGTTTTCCTTCATTCCCAAAGGCTCGCTGTCCCCTAACCCAGAAACAGGACACAAAACCAAACTCTTTATCAAATGTCAGGTTTTACATTTCAGAGAGGTGTGAAGACAATGCAGATGCAAGTGAAAAGTAATCCAAATAACTAACCAATCTCATGCTCAGTGCCTCGGGTCCATCTGTGCCAGAAGTCCTCTGAATGACCCGAGAGGTAGACAGCATCCATAAAATTCTGGGAAAATATATTACTCCATGTGCCTTGAAAGTTTAAAAAAAGAAAAAGAAAAAGCCATGCTTAATACTCCTTTGAATTTTTAGAGCACAGCTATGGCAAGCTACTTGGATGCAGTCTCTGTGGTTGTTTAAATTAGCGCTGTTTTAGCTATGAAATATTATAAATTTTAGTATGAATATCAAATGCCATGCCATTCCATTCCACATAATGTCTGGTTTATGACTAGGCCATTTTAGAAACTTGGCTGTTTATAAAAGTCAGACTGTGATTTTAAATACTTCAAAAGATCAGTTCTAATGTGTGCATTCTGTTTTGGTCTAACCTAAGAAGTTCAGCAAATTAATTGCATTTGTCTCAAGAATTTGTTTCCTCTTTTGTCACTTTTGGCTGGTTCATTTGAGATTTAAATTGCATCAGATTATCTGGTGTACTAGTATTGCTACTTGCAGACCAGTAGTTATTAGACGCCAACTCTGTCTAGCCAACTATGTGGTAATAAAGGTGATGTTTTCCTGAGACAGTAAATCACCTTCCAAGAAGCAGATGCGGGACTCTGGGATCTTCTTCATCAGGTGGCCCATGAAGAACTCACTACCAAAATCCTCTGAACGAACAAAGGCCCCGTATTTCAGGAAACCCACCTCGTAAGGTGTGAACTCCACCCACTCTGCAAATAAGGCATCAAGAAGTACTTATTGTAGCCACCTGAACACATGTAAAAATAATAGCTTAGCAAATCAAAAGCTGGAAGAATAAGGCCTGTAGGCTTCAACATGTTGGTGGCAGTTCAAACCACCATGTTTTGAAACAAACAGGTGCCCTTCAACATACTGCGTGTTAGATTGGTGAATACAAAAGGTAAATTCACCTCCTCCACTAACACTGTGAAAATCCATTCAGCTTGGGGTTCAGATCCATTTCTGTACTAGGAAGCAAAAATTGGGGCTGAAAGTCCACCAACTGCTAAGGTCCTGCACAAGATGTGGCATTTTTAGTTCTTCTGAGCCAGCAGTGACACCGGCTACCATTCATTCTTAGACTCTGATAATCACTGCCTCGTGAAGCTAAAAAAACTCCGACTAAAACCCACACAAACCTTGGCTGAACACACTGGGCCTGCAGATTGTGCCTAGAAGCAGATAATCAGGTTCAGCTGCAGGACCTGCCATTTCTTTTGGGCCAGAAAATGCTGTGGAAATAGTCAGGGCACAGAGTGCTGCCCCTCCTCAGATCCCTCTCTGGCTGCTGGGAGCTGCCTCCTGTTCTCACCCCACTCCACATCTTCCCTTCTCCTCCCTTCCTTGCCCTCCTCCCCCAGCTCTTCACAGCTCTCTTGGACTACTGCTGCCTGGGCAGGAACCCCAGCAGCTGAAAGAGGCTGTGAGGAGTAGTTGGGGACAAGAGAGAGAAAGAGCAGTAGTGGTGGGTCTCAAGGCTGACAGCAAAAGGGATCTCTGCCCCTCACAAGGCAGTGTCTTTGCACAGGTATCTCCCTACCATAGTATTAGGATGCATGTTTTTCATCCAAGTCAGAACCCAGATGGGAGGACAGGGGAAAAAGAAATTATTTAAAAGATTTACTAGCTTGGACTTACAGTAAAACCTTTTGACATTCACCCAGCACTGAAAGGAAACTCCTTAGATTTATAGAAGTGTGTATAATAATCATTACCTTTAAAATCCAGAGTGCTAAAGTCATCCTTGACATTGAGGGACAGGTATATGGGCAGTGGATTCTGCCCCTGATTTACTGCCAGTTGCTGATCAGAGAGTTTGTGAGTACTTTCCTGTTTATAAAAAACAGAAGTCATTGAATGACATGAATGAGATGAACATGATGCATGGACTTAATACAGTATCTAAGCATGGACTATCAATGAAACATCTCCTACACCTCAGCAGATTTCTTTCTGTGTACTTCAGTTGTTTGACCACACAAATGTGTTCACATGTATCCTATCATCAGCCTTCACCAAAGCGTTATCACTGATGCTTCCAGGAATTTTGGAATGGGAGATAGAGCGAAAATGTGAGAAACTTGTCTGCACAGTCACTAGGATATGATTTGCTTTAAGGAAAGATAAAGATATTTAGTGACCTTGGAGGTGCTGCAGATAAAAGTCAACCAGGGCCCATTTCATTGAATACAGCTTTGTTTGCTGGTATGGCTATATATTGCTATGCCTGAACTTAGCTCTGTCAGAGTCACCTCTCCTCTTTATGTTACTAGAATGCTCACTTGATCTGAAATTAAAGATAGAAAATCAGTTTCATTAATACCTTGACTTTTTACATGCTCAGACATTTCCCCTAGAGGCTTACATTTTAGGCTGTGTTATTTTTCTTCTAAAAAGCCAAAGAAAGACCCCTCAGAAGTTTTGAGAGCTTTTCCTATAACTGAATCCAGAACTTCAGACACGAAAAGTTAGAAATCCTCTGGAAAAAGGAATGGATATATAATACCTGATGATGTAGCATACGATCAATGAAGAGTCCCCATAAATCTGCAAAGGACAACTTGTGCCCCTCTTGCTTTCTTTCACAAAGCTCCTTTTCATAGTATTTCATATGATCCAACGAGAAACAGCGCAGTTTGCTCTTGATCACATGATTCCTGATATCACCAATTGGCCCTCTAAGATCCTTCTGTGACCAATTTGCATCTTCATATAACTTTGCCATGGTCCTGGTAAAAAGAAACATACTGTGGTTCTTCACTGGGTACATGACAATTCATGGGCTTGTACCACAGATAAACATTTTGTTTCAGGATACTTGAGGCTCTCACCCTCCAATTTTTACCTTGGAAGAGCAGTTCAAAGCTCAGGCAGAATTTAGACTATACAATTACATAATATACATTCAAAATCATCCTATCGTGTTTCTTCTCAGAATCAAAAGAGTAATAAAGCAACACCATAACTTAACACAAGCTTTTGTGTTAAGAATTACCCTTTGATTGTCCAGGTGCAAGCCACAGCTTCTGTCTGAGGCCAGTTCCCTCACCTGTTTCACACACTGTGTGAAACATTAAGCAGGAGTTTAGCAGCAAACATTGCCCTGGACAAGTGTGAGAGCTCCCTTCCCTAAGCATGCAGCAGGCAGGTCACCTCAGACTCTTGGCACACACAGGGCCACTCTGCTTGAGATTTCAATTTCCAGAGTTCGGGCAGATTCTGGTCATCCCTTCTCTTTCCCACCCCACTTGTTTTGGTTCTGTCTCACATATCTTTTTAGAGCAGCCTTCCAGAGGCAAAATGTTTTAAAGCCCTGTACCCCTGCTAGTCATGCAAGGCAGTCAACATCGTGTGCATGACACTCCGTGTTTCTCAGGACTTTTCTTTTAAATTCTCCTTTTCAGAGCCACATAAGAGTTGAGACAGACAAATATAATAGGTAATACATAATATCAGAGGATTTCTGAAGTGTTACATGCAACTAGATAACCCAAAAGGTATACAAAGGGAAAACAATATTTCCCTACTTTCATTTCCTCATTGCTCTCAAGCATGCTAGGGGATCGGGTCTGCATCCTTTCAGAGATTCAAGTCCCCAGGACTTCAGCTGCATTGCTTCTCTTGCACATCTGCAGCATCTTCTCTGGCTCACGATTAACATCTGATTTGTCTGCACTGGCAATCAAAAGGTTTACTTCTCCCCCAGGAAGCAATCCCCATTTCTTATATTCCCAAGAAAATGCCAGCTTTTCGGCCTACCTGGCCCTATTCAGTCCCTCGTTGATAGCCATAAATAACCAAGAAAAGTGAAACACCAAGACACCTCTACCCCCCAATCTTAACATAGGAATCTTTTCTGCCAGGTAACTGGGAAGTGAGAAATGGAACTGAGTCACACAGAATTTTCATCAAAAAATAACCATGTTTCCCACCCATTCTCTGCGCCAAGCACCGAGTTTATGACAGAAACAAGTTCAGCCCTCTGGAGAACTCATAATATATGGCATGGCAGAAAGGCACGTATCCGAGCCACAGAACAGCTGCAGGTAGGTTTGTCACCTACACTGAACTGCAGGGAAATACAGGTAAATCACCCTGGCTTCTGCTCTTTTCTTTTAGTTTCTCTAAACACTTCAGTACAATTATGGAAATACAGTAGTTCTCACTCAGTTTGTTTCTTGTAGCTAGAAGAAATAAGGGTTACAGCACTGAGCGGTCCCATGAAATGGATGAGCACCTAAAGGAAGCCAAGTCCCAGCATCACACCGAGTAAAATTCATCAGCAAGGCATTACGCTTCACCAGGTTATCACTCTGCTAACACAAAGAGCAAGCACAAGCCCAGCTCTCCTTACCATGTTGTGGCAGACAAACCACTGAGGTATGACACACAGTCCAAAACACCTAACTCCTGGAGAGCCAGAAGACTGCCAAACATAGCCGTCATGGACCGCACTCCGCCTGCTGTGGTCATGACTGCCACCACTGGCACCTGCTCAACACACAAAGGCGCAGAGTCATTCATCACCAGATGAAATAACAAAGTGATGGGCATGCAGAAAAAGTAACAGCAACACCCTGATTCAGGTAGGTTTGGATCCAATTCACTCTCTTCATGGCAGTGCTTCGATGTGTGTTTGAGTTGTGTAAACTCTGGTGGGACTTAGCATATGCTGAAAGCATCTTCCTGACTGGTGATGCTTTGGTAAGTCAGAAGCTGTAAGCATGGCTCTTGTATGGCATAATCTATTTTCAGATTTGAAGAGAGTCTTTTCTGGATGTTTTTCATTTTTCCTTACATCTTTCCCTCAAAACACATTTTTAAATCCTGAGTATAACTGAGGTCAGAGGAGCAGAGCAAAAGCTGTCTGTGTAATTTTTTCTTCCTCTAAGTTTATATACAATATTTGCTATTCTCCAGGCAGATGGTGCAAAGCTTTATAATTTTTTTTTTTTTAAGCATCCTTTTTGTTACCCAGATGGCCTCCCCCTTCCCTGACATCAATGCTATATGTAAACTTTCCTCAGGGATGCAGCAATTCTGTTAGCCATCCTCCCTTTGCCCCATAGGTAGCACTTAAAAACTGAGACAACGTATTTATTCAGTTTTAGGAATATATCTTGTCATTACCTTTAATCTTGTCTTCATTGTATTTTATTGTATTCATTGTACTTTACCATCTACTTGGGGGTTTTGGTTTTGGTTTTTGTTTTTTAATTAACATGACTCAATAACCATTTATTCTCATTTAACAATAACAAGTCCTATTCTACTTGTTGTTTAAGTTCATGAACACTTTGCCTTGCTTGACAAATGCTGTCCAGCACACAGCATCAAGGGATGGGTGTGCTGAGAGCCAAGCAAAGCGGTGGAGGAAATCTCACACAGGCACATTCTCCCAGTTGCAGAAGAGTGTCTCCCTGACTCTTGCGCCAAGCATCACAGCCCCATAACAGATTACTGTCCTCCAGTAACAGAGCAGCTATCTCTGAGTCCAGGGATCCCCAGGGGAGCAGAAAGCAAGAGGTAACACACTGAAAAACACACAAGACAGATGCTGCTGCACCAGTGTGCTAAGGGAGAGTCACAGCCTTCCTCTGTGAGCCTTCTGTAGCAGCAGAGAAGGGGAGAGGTGCCAAACTGAGGAGAAATGGTCTCAGTCCAAGCAACCAAATTTCACCAAGTTTGGTTGTACATACATTCATCTCAACAAATACATTCTTTAGGTGCCCCTGAGCAAGGATGGAGGTTGGCAGAGAATAAAGGAGCTATAACTGACCTCCTGACAGTTCCTCTTTCATCCTCTGTGCCAAAAATTCTTGGATATGATCTTACGTGCAAGTGACAATCTGGCCTATACATTTTAGCCTAGAAGATGTGCAAGAGCTATATGGGTAGTCATGCAAGTACATCACATCCACTTCGTTCAAAGTAGGACAGAATACTTCAAGTTCCCAAGATGCTGTCCCACATACCTCATCCTCCTGCAGGTCCTCATCTAGATGAAGAACATTTTTCAGAGCAGCAGCAACCAACTTCTTCCTTTTACAGATGAAATCCTGCTCCTCTGCACATAGATCAAACCCCAACCGCAAATCTAAATTCTTGCAACTAGAGCATAAGAACAGAACAAGACATATTACCTGTAAGCCATTTCTAGAGCTACTGCTTGAGACATCAAGCAAAACCAGCAACAAGAAGCCAGTTTAAAGAAAGGCTACTTCCATACACTTGAAGGTTCCCCTATGCAAATGAAAGCAGGTATATGGATATCACAGGCCCTGTATTTCTGCCTTCCTGTGGAGATTTTTAGACCAGAATCATGTCCTGAACTATTTCATGCAACCATGAGGAAATTAAATAAATCAAATTCTCTGCTGATGAAAAACAAAGCACATAACTGAATTCAAGCTGTTTCACATTGAGCTCTGAAATTTGGACACCTCTTCACATTCTCTTGCTATGTATGTGTTTCCCGAAGAGCAGAGGGGCCCTAAGCAGTTACTCTAAATTTAACACGCTTTAGACAAAATGACCCTAATCCCATGTTAGGCTTATCTCTGCCAAGAACTTGTGCTGTAAATACTCGAGTCAGAAGATGTCTCTGAAGTGTATCCCTTCATATCTGTACATGATTGTGAACATCATGTGCATCATTAATTCTATAACTTCTATTTTCACAGGGCTACTGTTTCAGGGTTTTTTCAGCCAAAAGGTTATTTTGTCCCTTCCGTGACTCATAATTAATATTCAGTAAAAAACTCTTGATTTATCATGTCTGCAATTAGTGCTTGCAATGCAGCTAACTAATCAGTAGGGGGTAATGTTGCCCTTCAGAAAATCACTGCAAGCCAGTCAATTAATTACTGTCAGCTTGTTTCATTGAAAAACAACCTGCAGAGGACTAGTAAAAGCATAACGGTGTTCAAAACATCTTAGAAATGTGTTACACATAAACGTGTATGTATTATAGATAAAGGTTGCAAGACAGAGGGATTCTTAAGTATCAAAATTAGGAAGCATCAATGTTAGGAAAAACATTGGGACTGGTTATACCCCATGACTATCTACCACCTATTCTATGCTGAACCCTTACCAACCAATTTAAAGGCATGTATCATTTTGTTAACCCTTCCCCATATTTCAGTTGTCTTTAACCAATTACAATCTTTATTCCTGGTTTCAAAATGAGCTAGTTTAAGCTGTAGCTTCCTTTCATCTAAAGGTGATACTATGAAAGGATAGGAGATGGCCTAAGTAATCATTCAAAGAAATAAAAGATTTACCCATCTTCTTCCTTCACAGACACCTCATAAGATTCACCCTGAGAATCAAGAATGAAAACACCATAAATTTTAAATAGAATTGAAAGCTTGGAAAAGCAAGTTTTAGAGTATTAGCAATTATTCAGATATATAGTCTAATAATAAATCTTCGGTCTCTTCTCAGGCCTTCTACACACAATCATCACTAGGATCCTGCTTTTAAAATACTCTTAAAGCAACCAGCAATTCCGAATATGCTACTTTTTCCCTGAATAATAGTTACACTTCCAAGTGTATGCAGAGCTGAGCTTACATACAACTCAGCTAGTACATTTTTAATGACAAAATTAACAACGGACCAGGTATCACATAGATACAGCTTACACTTGTTGAAATAATTCCAAACGCTGTCAAAGATTACTCACTCTCATCACTGTCACTTTCTTTCCCAAGTCCAGAGAATGGAGAGGCACAGCCAGAGGACTACTTACATCCATTTCCCTCCTAGCTGAGCTATGCTGAATTAAAGTGGGGAAAAAAAAAACCCTGTTATAACGAGAAAACTATTTACAACCCATAGGTACAAATCTACCAGAGAAGGGCTAATTCATCACGCTTCTCCCAAAAGTTACTTTAGCTGTTAGCACTGTCCACAAGCAAAACATACACCACAGAAAAAACGCTCCTTTGGCAGCGTCATGTGCAGTCTGGGTTGACTGTGCTTGATGTAGTGGAACATGGTGGTTTCACTGCTTCCCCATCTGCAGCAAGGACCTATGGAAACATCCTGGGTTTCTTCATAGGATCCTTTCATTGTGAATGTGAAATCTCTCCCTAAGAACAAGAAGCAAACCACAGAGGAACGTTAACTACATACAGTCCTGAGAAATAACAATAAAAATGCCCCAGTTAAAGATTCAGTGTTAGTGCAGTCAACATTCATTTGGGCCACTATGTTTTTTCCTCCCCCATAATCAGTGTGGACAAGGGTCAGACTGAATAAGCAGCAAAAGGCCGGTGCAGCATTGCAACTTCTCCTGTGCCAAGCGACAGAGAGCATGTGTTAGACCAGCAGATGCCAGTGGAACTAGCAGCGTTCACACCCCTTGAGTTTCCACCATAGTCTTTCCACTCCCGATAGCTGTGTCTCCCCTCTTTTACTTTCTGTTCTCATCACAGGTATTTCAGTTCCATCACACTGCAGTGATGTTTCTGAGTCTCCCAGCCACCTCCATAGTTTCCCTTAAGCTACACAGTCACACCATCTCCAGAGGATTCTCACTACTAGCAAGCAGGCAATTCAGGATACACGTCAATCCCCAAGCAGCCCTGATACAAACACAGACTAAAACAGATCATATATTTATCTAGATTCAGCTGCATCTCCCATAGCACAAAATGCCATGACAAATTATTTAAATCAATAACCTCACTTGTGTAAGGGCTCTTCATTTTTCTTTCATTCACATGTACTTCCAAACAGGAAATTTCACGAGACTGGAAGAGATAAGCAACAAAATCACCAGTCACAGAAATAGTTCAGGATCCTCACTGAGGATCTAGGGGTCCTGTAGAAACACCAGGCTTGGCCATGATGTCCTGTGAACATGAAGAAATTGCAGAGGCTGATTCTCTTGTATAAATCATGCAAGCAATACTGTGGTCAAGGGAGCTAAGACAGCCAGGGATCTGTCCCATTACATTTAAATACCATTCAATCCCTAACAGTTAACACAAGAAATTTTTCTCCCCATCTAGGCCATGCCTTAATTTTTGTCTACACAAGAGTGAGCTGAAGGATACCTACAACTCTGCAGAACAGCTAGGCAGATGGGCCTGTACTTGGGATATACCTTTGGGATAAAGCTGAAACTTCACAAGAGAGTGCTGCCTAGGAGGAAGTAGCAGCACAGGAACATCACACAGTACTTCAGACATGGAGTAAAAAGAGCCCTTGGCTCCAAGGTGGATGTTCAGTAATAAACTCTACAGTGACACTGGATTCACTCCCTTCCCAAGTTTCCTTGTTTACTGCCATTTCATCAGTGAGCAGTTCACTGGCACTGTGGCAGAGCACTGGTCCAAGCCTCCCCCAACACAGAACGCACTATAAGCACGACCAAGTTCAAAACTTTACAACCACACCTGTGTGTCATCTGAAAAAGAGTAAAGGCTATGCCTAAAGACACAGTTTTTCCAACTACATCCTTCCATTCTGCCCTATGATAAGAACATAAGCATAAAAAAATAAAACAATTACCACTAGTACGCCATTAGTAATGATGTTCTCAGATACACCTGGACTGAAAAGCAAAAAGGAAAATGTTTATTTAAAAGATTATTGCTTATGTACCCAGCCTTAAATGCAAATAGTTCTCTGAGCTCAGTTTTTCTAGCTGCCAAGTGCCATCAGCACTTCTATCTTTCACCTCCATCTCATGCTCACTGCCAGGTCACAGCCCATAGCTCCTAGGGACACTCCTTCTTTCTTACCTCCCCTGATCAGCATCATCTCTCCTTAGGCTGAATTATAAAATAAACACCCACCCCCAGCTATAAATAGTAAGTGAGACTCTCACTCAGGAAGGGATTTCACCAGATTCAGGAGAGAAAAGCAACTGTGGGGAAGATGCCAAGATAGATGTCTGAGCACAGGTACATGGAGCCACTTCCCCAATGCTGCAGGACCACTCTCTAAAATGTGAAGTTTTCTGATGACAAAGTCTGTAACATTTAGGCTATACTCACATGTTTGCCAGTAGAAATTCCACTTCTAGTTCCTCCTGATTCTGAAAATAAGATTTATTTTTCATTTAAGGAAAATGAACAAGTAAACTTCTCCTTTGAAGGAGCTCTGATTATTTTGTATAACCCTCCCTTCCAAGGTTTTGCTATTCCCACACCCTCTGCATCATAATGTAAATGGATGGAGCCTTCTTTGGCTGCCCTTTCATTTCACGTCTCTCCACCACTTTACTGTTTACAAACCAACTGTCACCCCAAGGAGAAGAGGAGAGTAAGTATCGTGGAATAGGGGGTGAAGGTCCCATTATTAATTTATTAGTAGGATGAGAGATGGGACAATCAATGCTGAGGAAGGGAAGTATAACAGGTGAATGATGTAGGAGAACATGCTTGAGAATAAACGGACCTGGGTGGTGAGGATGTCTGGGTTAAAACAAAAGAATTTGCAGAGTATAGTGAATAAACAAAAAAAAAAAAAAAAGTGGGAGAAGAGACCAACTTGGAAAATTAAAATTGCCAAGGAGAAGGGAAGAAGAGAGAAAAGGGAAGTCTGAA